TAGAGATATGACTTGTTACTTACAAGTTGGTTATGCACTGATTGTACAAAAACACATTGGTAACTCGATGTCATAAAACTTGCTTTTGTGTATAATTCAATGCGTGGTAGAACAAACATACGAGTCGAAGTTTATCTGCTCCTCCTTGGATTAGAAGTTGATATCTGGGCCCCTCGATGATTTTGTTTTGACCTATGTACCGGGCTCGGTCAGAACTAAGTTGATGTGTTCAATTAAGGTCTTTGTCAAACAAATCGGAAATCGGGAAACAAACTGCTGGACAATAAGTAAGACATTGTTCCATGTATTTGTCCGGCTGATATCTAGAACAGAGGGTTATATGATCACTTATCTTAAATGGCGTACCATCATCTTCTCAGTTCCGAGAAACCTTGAAAAGAGCTACGATTGTCGATCGGTTCCTGAAGTCATACTTGCAGTAATAGTTATTAGACTTATCCAAGTGGGAGACTGTTGGATAAGGTGTCTAAGTCCATAACTATTTCTGGTATGCACGTGACCCGACCCGGCATGGTCCATTTGGGTTGCATGGCACCATGCAATTGGATAGACTAAATGAGAGAAATAACATTTGGAGATTATTAATATATTATAAGTTCCAATATATTAATAATATTATTTGATTAGTTTGATCAAGAATTAATTTAGAATTAACTAAGTGATCAAAAGATAACTAATTAAATATATGGGTTGATTATGTACATCATCCATATCTTATATAGTGAGCTAAGAGGCTCCATGGATTATCAAGTTGGGTTCCACCTATAGGATGCTCCATGGATGCTCTATGGGAGTTACAAACCCATGGGTCATGGAAATAAAGAGTCATGACACATTAGGGTTTACATGGTGTAACCCTAGATGTGTCAACACTATATAAGAATCTTATTCTCCACCAAAATCGGCTACACCTATGAAACAAGAGGGCTAGGCCGATTTCAAGAAGTGTGCATTCTCTCAAAAGTCTTTCCAAGAGCATTTGGTGTTGTGTGAATCATTTGAGGCATCACACTTGGGGTGCTAGGCTCAAAAGGTTTCAAGGAACATAAGCAACAACAAGGTAAGTTATTCTATCTTTCATTCAAGTTAAAAATTGTTCCCCATGTATGCTAGATAGGAATATAACCTTGGAATTCAACTTTGCATGATAATTAGACAAACATAGATCCAAGGTTATTAGGGTTGCATGTACACTTAGGAAGTGTTAGAATGCTCAAAACCCATCATTTAGGACATGAAGACGGGTCAAAGCTTCATAAATCTTGAAGCTTTATGTACATGGGACCTAGAGAAGTCCATATTTGAAACTCATACCCCCTGGGCAAACTTAACTCGAGAATGTCCCTCATTTTGCACCAGAAACCCATAAACTCACATAAGAAGAGATCTAAGGAATGGAAAGCCAAGGTAAGGACTTTTTACCTCCAAATAGGTGCTACAACTATATGGATGCTAGATCTAAAGACTCCTTGTTCCAAGCTCTTCACTCTTCAAGCTTCCTCCAAGAATGCACACTTTTGGCTTCACACACTCAAAATATGGGCTAGCTCACTAGGGTTTCTCTATATACATGATAGGGTGATGAGGGAGGCGGGGTGAAGGAGTTAAAGCCATTTAAATAGGGTGTAAACCCGAATAATTAGGGTTTAAACAGCCTCGACTCGTCGAGTCCAACTCTCCAACTCGGTGAGTAGGCTTCATAACTTGCGCATCCAGATCAACTCCTACACGACGAGTTGGGCCAACCAACTCGTCGAGTAGCCCCTTCAACATGCACAAAATCTCCAAGTCCTACATCCAGGAATCCAGGTGTTACACATAACCTATCAAAGAATATCTATAAAAGATAATTATTATATATAGAGTTAAGTATACATGAATAATTGTGTATAGAAATTGGTATCAAATAAAGACTAAGTAAGGGAAAGAAAAAACGATAATCCTACTTAAGTTTAAATAAACACGTATTAGTGAGATGTTATTATTCATCCTATAGGCTAATTAAATTCACCTAACCCCGAACCTATAATCATTTATCTCGCGAGAGACAAAAATATATGTATAGATCTATACGAGGCTAACACCCCCACATGTGATTGCTAGCTACAATCCTGACAGGATAACTTTCTTAAGTATAAAAATAATATTATTCGACGTCTGAAGAAGCATCGTGTGGGGTATACATCGGTCCACATCGTCGATTATAGAGGCTCATGGTAATACTGTTCAGAAAATCTTAATTTAAACTGCCTAGAGGGACGCCTTCAAGTAGTTGTATGATTCGATTCGATAAATGATTATAAAATTTTGGGATGGGTATCATATCCTAAAAGAAATAAATACTCTGAAGAAACAAAACTTTATAATATTAGTGTAGATAATATGTCATAAGGATAATATCCAGGAAACAAAAATAGGAGTATTAGATATGGAAATCCTAGGAAATAAGGAAAAAATGAAAGATAAACATATTCATAAACAAAGATCCTAAATTTTTTCAAAGAGTTTTATCGATATTTATAAAACTTGTGAACTCACCAACATCAAGTTGACGTTTTCAAAAATCGCATGTGTTCATATGATGAAGGGAAGCTTAGCGCAAGGAAGAGCAAGTTGCATGAAGATATATAGGTTTTAGTTTAGTCGATGTAATTGATATTATTAATGAAAGATAAATTTATGTTCTGAGATTGTGCCATAGGTCAACCCTCGTTGTTTCTGCCGTCGGTCGGGGTGTGACAACATATATATATATATATATATATATATATATATATATATATATATGAGAGTCATGTATCCTAGCATGACAAAGAGAAAGAAAGAGAAGAGGATTATATGTACTATAATCCTACATAAGATTATGTACCTATGGTTATATTCATGTATCTAAGCATGACAAATAGAAAGAGAGAAAAGGATTATATGTACTATAATCCTACATAAGATTGTGTGCTTGTGATTATACACTTAAGATCATGTATATGAGCATTTGCGTATAACCAAATTATACAAATATGTATAGAGAAAGAACAAGAGTATTATGAGTAATATTCTTGAGAGTAGATAAAGAACGGATGGGATTATAGTATTACAATCCTATGTATAAGTGGATGATGATAAATTCTATTTGTAGATACATAAGAGATTTCCGATAGGGATAGAGAATGATTATACGTAATATAATTATAAGTGTATGTAGCTATGTCTAGACATGGATGATATTGTGTAGAATACCTATATGACAATAGATATAGATAAAGAATAAGTACTTAATGAGTTGAGTACTAGATGTGTATTATAAGATCTCCTGAAGAGATAAAGAGATAGAATGTCCATAGGACATGTTTTATATAATGAGTCACATAACAAATATAAAGATGTAGAGAAAGATGGTTCTTTCAGGGATAAGAGATAGAAGTACCTTCCGGGACAAGTGATGGAGATTCCTTCAGAAATAAGAGATAAAGATTCATTCGAGAATAGAGAATATGGTTCCTACGGGAATGAGTGGATGGTTCCTTAGGGAACATAGATAGATGATCTTGTTAGGGATGCAGATAGATGATTCCTGTAGGAATTAAAGATTGTGCATGGTTAGAAAAGATTGAGAAAAGGTCCCATGAGTGAAACAAGGTAATGGAGTTCTTTTAAGAAGTTGGAGATAATATGTAAGGGATAAAGAGTAAGGAATCCATGAAAAAAATAGAATGTCAAAGAATATGTGAGGGATCAAGATGAGAAGTATGAGATGAAGCAAGTAGAGCAAGAGAAAAGCATGCATAGAGCATAGATAAGAGTAGAGGAAAAAGGCGATGAGACGGAGTATGAAGGGAGATATAAAGATTTAGAGTATAGTATAGAAAAGACAAAGGTAAAGGAATATATAGAGTATATAGAGAGAATGTGATGAGCCTGAGAAGAGGCTATGAAAGATAGAAGAGATAGATGAGTGGGAATAATAGCAGTATGTGCTAGTAGAGAGGAAAAGTAGAGCATAAAGTATGGGAATGAGAGAATAGAATGCTAAGGCATGAAAAAAAATAGATGTGATGAGATGAGAAAGATTAGACCATCTATGCCATGAGAAGAAGAGTTTAAAATGCAGAGAATGAGATAAAAGAGAAGAACAATTAGAGTGTGAAAGATGGAATGAATAGATAAACATGGAAATAGAAAGAATATAACTCACCAGACATTGTTATCTGATGTTGTAGAGATGTTTCATTTTTCGCAGGTTCAGGTAACAACAGTTATGGTACCAGAGGAGAAGACATGAGCACAAGACTTTGATTATGTTGTTATCTTAGTTGTATTTCCATGTTGTTCCTTTATGTTGAAAATTTATTGTAAACTCGTGATTATTGTCTAGGATATAAAATGTTTTTACTTTTATGAGTTAATAGAATTTCATAAATTTGTAGAAATAATCATAATAATCCCTTATGTTAGATGTTAGGAAATCCGGGTCATTACAATGTTGCTCCATATACTTATACATATCGATTCTTATAATAAGTTTCTCATCATCAAACCATTGCTTATTGAGAGTCTTGGTAAACTCGATTTTCCAACATCTATAGGACCCTAGTACATAAACAAAGTAGTTAGCTGTTAATATCTTATCAAAACAGTCTGAAACCTCAATAATGCCTCTGTTACAACACTAATTGCTTGATCTTAGCCTACAACTTGCTCATGAAACCTATATGCTTCCTTTTTAATTAGAGGGTGATTGTGGTGTGAAAGAATAAAAGGTGAAGGTGAAAAGGAAATAAATAATTTACAGACTTTATATAATAATCAAAAGGTAAAACAATCGATTAATAAAAATAATAATATTAAAACAGTTAATATATATTTGGAATTGTTAAAATTAAAAGTTTGAACAAAATATTTTAAAATTAAAAAATTAAGAAAGATAAATATGATATTTTAAAAACAAGTAATATTTTATGAAAATTTTCTTATTATATGTGACCAAGATAATTAGTTTTTGTCAACAATATGTTGGAATAATAAGATACTTTAGTGGAGATGGTGTATAGGGTTGGTAGAGCAGCACACATACTTCGCCATTTGTTTCTCCCATTTCCCTGATACTGAGTTACCTTTTACTCATTCTAGCCTATCACCTCAACAACAACACGCCGCCTTGCCGCCTTGCTGCCAGCACCTCCGTTGACTTTCAACAATCTCCACCATGCAAGCTTCCTTGATTGCCCCAACTCCCCGCCCCACCAGCATTCTCCCATCCACAACTTTCCGACCACTCATCCCAACTACCCATAAACCCTACACATTCTCACCCCGAGCCTCCGCCGCCTCCTCATCTACAACCGAAACAGTCCCACCACCACCACAATCTGTCTCCTCCGTCGACCCATCATCAAAACTCAACAAGTTCAGCTCCAGAATCACGGAACCCAAGTCACAGGGTGGCTCTCAGGCCGTCCTTTACGGCGTAGGTCTCTCCGATGACGACCTTAAAAAACCCCAAATTGGTATTTCATCTGTTTGGTACGAAGGGAATACCTGTAATATGCACTTACTGAAGCTAGCCGAGGCTGTGAAAGAAGGGGTTCAAGATGCTGGAATGATTGGATTCAGGTTCAACACTATTGGGGTTAGCGATGCCATTTCAATGGGGACTCGAGGAATGTGTTATAGTCTTCAATCCAGGGATTTAATTGCTGATAGCATTGAAACTGTTATGTCTGCTCAATGGTATGATGCCAATATCTCCATCCCTGGTTGTGACAAAAACGTAAGTTAACCCTCAATTTCTTTTATACTTCACTATTCTTTTAAGGGTTTTTGTTACAAGTTATGTAAAATACTTGGTGGGAATCTCTTTTCACGTTGAAAGTAAACTCTTTCGATCTTTTTGAGGTTGGTTATGATTTGCTATGGAATCTAATCTATCTCAAAAAGTTAACCCCATTTCTTGTTAAAAAAAAGGCCATTCTCAAGAATCTTGATTGACATATTTATTTCTAGTGGTCATTATGAATCATTTGCTTAAAATCATGGGAAAATGTTTCTTCTATATGACATAATCAGATACATTCAAATATTTTGTTTTTCAGATGCCAGGTACGATTATGGCAATGGGGCGCTTGAACAGACCAAGTATAATGATCTATGGTGGCACCATTAAGGTCTGATTTGTATAATTTATAAACACTTTCTTTATATAATTTTATTCAGTGGTATTTTTGTTTTTTGTTAATTGCTTATGAATATGCATCAAATATTTATAAGGTCTATAAAACTTTCTTGCAGCCTGGTCATTTTCAAGGCCATACATACGATATAGTATCTGCATTTCAGGTATAATTAATGTTTTGCTCATATGCTACTATTTACATAATTGTTTTTAGTAATTCTTGTTAATTGTAATAATTTTTTATTTGCTATTATTTTTTTTTTTTTTTATAGGTTTATGGAGAATATGTAAGTGGTTCCATAACTGATGAACACAGAACAGATGTGCTTCGTGCTTCTTGCCCAGGGGCAGGGGCATGTGGAGGAATGTACACTGCTAACACCATGGCTTCTGCCATTGAAGCAATGGGAATGTCTCTTCCTTACAGGTAGGGTCATTTTCGTAATTTCACACTGTTCTATTTGCAATTTTACAGATTCACCATCTGATTTTCTATTTTTGTATTTCCAAAAGCTCGTCAACACCTGCTGAAGATCCATTGAAGTTGGATGAGTGTCGCTTAGCTGGAAAGTATATTCTTGAGTTACTAAAAATGGACTTGAAGCCAAAAGACATAATTACCCCTAGATCAATGCGTAATGCAATGGTTACTGTGATGGCGCTTGGTGGATCCACTAATGCTGTATTACACTTGATTGCCATAGCAAGGTAAAACAGCAAATTGGTTGGATTAATGTTTTCTTTGAATTGATTTTGACTTTCATTTCTTCATAATTCATATTACAACTTTTATTATTAGCAATTCAATCCAAATAAAAAGCAAATTTTACTGTTTTAATTGCAGATCAGTTGGCTTGAGTTTGACTCTTGATGATTTTCAGAAGGTTAGTGATCAAGTTCCGTTTCTTGCGGATCTTAAACCAAGTGGAAAATACGTTATGGAAGATGTACATAAGGTCAGAATCGTAAATTTAAGCTCATTGAGAGACAATTTAAGATTTTTGTTGCATACCCTAAACTTTTTTTCTTTATTTCTTTTGAGCTGGATTAGATTGGAGGAACACCTGCAATTCTTCGTTACCTTTTGGAGCTCGGGTATCTAGATGGAGATTGTATTACAGGTTGGCATAATAGAAACAAGTGTTTGACTAATTGACTCTATTAACAATTGTACTTGACTTTTTATTGCAATGTATATAATAAATCCTTGTGAAAACACTACAAAACTCTGAAATGTATGAAAGTTAAGAATTTTTGACAAGTTATGGAGATTTAATAGCCAAAAGAACCATCTTTTTTGACACCATTTATCCAAAACTGTGTATTCTTGCAAAATTAGTGCTTTTTGTTTGCATTTTTTATAAAGTGGTTCGATCTTTTTTCAAGTTTTAAGGAGTTTAAGTTGTTTTTTTTTTTTATTTATTTTTTTTCTGGTTATTTTCAGTCACGGGGAAGACATTGGCTGAAAATGCAAAACTTTTCCCTTCTTTATCCGAAGGGCAGGTGATATATCATAATCTTTTCGATTTACATTCGACATTTTCTTGAAAATTCATTTCATATAGCAAAGATTTGTCACTTTTTTCCAGCAAATCATAAAAACACCAGAAAACCCGATAAAGAAAACGGGTCATCTTCAAATATTATATGGAAATCTTGCACCTGAAGGTTCAGTAGCAAAGATCACAGGAAAAGAAGGGTTATATTTCTCTGGTAATTCTCTCATTTTCACATTTATTTTTTTAAATTTGTAGTTGGTTTTATTAATAATGATTTGGGAGACTTTTTTCAGGTCCTGCATATGTCTTTGAGGGGGAGGAAGCCATGATTGCAGCCATCTCTGAAGATCCCATGAGTTTTAAGGTATACTTTTTCGACTCTATTCAAGAAATATTAATGTATTTTCATTTATTTGTTTATTGTAGCAAATTCTACTTGTATTTGTTTCTATTACAATGTTTGAATAGGAAAAAAAAAAGTCTATTAAAGTAATAGAAAGCAAATGAAAGTAAGATGTTATGATAAACTAATTAAAAGCACGTTGCTATTTCTTGAATTTAGTCCCTTTTTGTTATTTTCTTTATTTGATTTTTCGAATAAAATCTTGTTTCAGGGGAAAGTGGTTGTTATTAGAGGAGAAGGTCCTAAAGGGGGCCCTGGTATGCCTGAAATGCTGACACCAACAAGTGCAATAATGGGTGCAGGTCTTGGGAAGGTAATTTTTAGGGTTTAAAAAGTTTATAAATTTTCTTTTTAGGGCTTAAAAAGTTATAAATTTTCTTGTTTCTAACAAATTGTTTTTAAAAGCTGTTTAGATTGTGTAAATTAGTTGTAATATTGATGAGATATAAATTTGTGAAATTTTGCAGGAATGTGCATTATTAACTGATGGAAGATTTTCAGGTGGTTCACATGGATATGTTGTTGGACATATTTGCCCTGAAGCACAGGTTTCATCTTTTTCCTTTTTCCAACTTCTATCCCCATGAAAATTTGCAACTTAACTTAACTACCCACCCAATGGGCAATTAGGTAATTTTAACCGCAAAATTTGCCACATAAGTAAAAGTTGGTTATTTTGATTGAATATGAAGAGTCATTTAAAGGGCAACAACGTAATTTCCGCAGGAAGGTGGTCCAATTGGTCTAGTGAAAAACGGGGATGTAATTACTATAGACATCAGCAAGAGGAGAATGGATGTTGACTTAACTGAAAAAGAGCTGGATGAGAGAAGAAAAGCATGGAAAGCTCCTGCATATAAGGCTGAAAGAGGTGTCCTTTACAAGGTACATTATGTTCTTTAAGTGAAAAATTCACCAAATTTTAAATCCCAAAGTTGATGTAATTCTTCCATGAAATTCATGAAAACATTGATATGAATATGAACACACATTCAAACTTTTTCATATCTCAATGGTTGTGTTTATAAAATCATGTAACAATCTTTTTTTTTTTTTTTTTTTTACAGTACATCAGGAATGTTCAATCAGCCTCGAAAGGATGTGTAACAGATGAGTCATAGAGGCGAATTGAGATTAGGGAAGAAGATCTAGAGAATTATTCCAACTCCGGCTTATTATTTATCTTTGTGTTACAAACATACTTTTGGTTGTTTTGAGATTTGAAACTAGAGGATCCAGACATTGTGAAATGGTCCGAGTTAGTTGTATGTATCATGTTCATTTCAAATTTTAAACCGACATAAATTCAAAAAGAAAGTGGTCGGTTCCACAGACGTGGGTTTATATTTCGGCAAACGTGGATGAATTCTTTTAAGGGTGTAATCTCCAATCTCAAATTTTGGCACAATTTACGTGTTTGTCCGAAATTAAATTTCTTTTATGAATTTTTTTTGAAAACTGCTTAACATTTTCGGTTCAACTATTTTTTACCTTTTCATCATGTAACCTGTTGGAGCTGCTTCCTTTTACCGAAGCGCCTCCACAGGCTTTGCCTTTTTAGCCGGAAGCCTTGCTGTGACTGCCATACTACGTCTTCTATCTTCTCAAATTGGCGGGGGTGATTCTAGTGACTACTTTATCTTCCCCAACGACTTCACTTCACATCCCAACACATTCGCTTGTTGTATCCCTAGGGTTGTCATCTGACTTCATCTCCCTCTCGCTCGTGATCACTTACACCCGTCACAATAAACCGCCGTTGGAAATATTCGAAATTGTTGCCATCGGCAACCCTACTGGCGGTGGTGTTGCATGGTTTTCCAACATTGATATGGGTGAATAGAAGATTGGGGTTTGCTTATGGTGGGAAGAAGAGGCAGTCGGATGCAAATGGTGGCAAAAGGTGATGGTGACAAACGGCAGGGCGGGGTAGTGGTGGTAAACGGCAGGGTTATCCACTGGTGTGAGGGGAGCCTGGAGAAAATGGTCGTAATGGAACATTTACTTGGTTTTAAGACTTTTTTTTGTAAAAACAAATCAGTTAGAGACTATTTCGTGAACTGGACCAAAATATTGCGATTTTTCTACAAAAAATCATTCTTTAGGATTGACGCAAACCATTACGAACAAAGAAGTTATTGAAGAGACATATCCTTTCGGTGTGGAAGGGATTATAATTATTATTTGTAATTATTTAAAAGTGTAGGTAGTATTGTCGGTTACGAATTATATTCGTAACAATGTAATGATGTGACATAAAGTTAGTAATGTGATATAAAGTGTGTAAGACCCATAATAATCTAAGGGTCTAAAATGTAAATTAAGTTTGTCTTCTTGCAATCATTTGATTGCAATTATGTAATTGTAACTGGCTTTTTAAGGGCATATAAATAGGATTTGCCCATAAGGAATAAAGCATGAGTTGTGTCTAAAAAACTTGAATTAACTTTCAAAGTTTGATCGGTTGAAATATTTTTATATTTATAAATAATAGGGTTTTCTATCTAAATCTATACATACCATCTAATATTATCCATATCATTATCAAGCATCAACATCAATCCTACACATCATTATTGTATAACGATCCTATCCATCCTAATTTTATTAATCTTATCCTCCAAAATTACAAGGAAGATAAAATTAATAAAAATTTGAATTAATAAAAATTATGATGGATATGATTGTTATACTTGAATTAATAAAAATTATGATGGATAAGATTGTTATACCTGAATGGTGTGTTAGAATGATTTTGATGTTTGATGATAATATGGATAATCTTGGATAGTATGGATAAATCTGGATAGAAACTCTGTTGTTCAGAAATATAAAAATATTTCAACAGAGATCAAACTTTGAGAGTTAACTCAAGTTTTTTAATCAAACAACTATTGCTTTATTCTTTACGGGCAAAGCCCTATTTATAGGCAGAGCCTGTTACAATTATATGATTACATAATTGCAATCAAATGATTCCAAGAAGACAAACATAATTTACATTTTAGACCCTTAGATTATTAGAGATCTTACACACTTTATGTTACATCATTACACTGTTACGAATATAATTCGTAACCGATACTTTTAAATAATTACAAATAATAATTACAATTCATTCCACACCGAAATGACACATGTCTTTAATAATTTTTCCGTTCGTAATGACCTGCGTCATTCCTCCCACCACTGAAAGGACATATATTTTCTTCAATAATGGGCTTTCTTATTATTATTATTATTATTTTTATAAAGGTGCATATTAACTTATGCAATGTCAAGATGAAATTTATAAAGAAAAAATCATTGAATTCTTATTCGGTACCAAAAAATAATAAGTTGATAAGTTGTTTTTTAGTGTTTTTTGAAAGCATTCCAATAATAACTTATATAATATAACTATTATATGATTTACTATATAAAATTTAAATAACAATAATATTAAAATATATACCTTTTCAAATTATATCTATAAACATTAGAATTTTTTTTTATAAAAATGATATATTGACTTATTGGTCACCATCTTATGTAAATGGTTCATTATAACTAAATTTAAATTCAACTAATCACGTTGCATAACATAATTGGCAGATCTATATCTACAGGTGACTAGGGGTGTTATTCGACCGGTTTAATCGGTTAATGATTTATTTAGTTCCGTTTAATTGATTTTTTTATTTCTAAAATATTAACCAAAACCGAACCAAACATGGTTCAGTTGGTTGGTTTGTTTTGGTTTTGTTTTTGGTTAAATTCAAATAACAAAAGTTAGGATTTCAAGTATATATTTTATAAGGCCGGAGGGTGTACCACAGTTTAGACGAAAGGTAGCCGGAAGTATATCCAAAAACACCTCACCCTGTATCCGGAGGTGTAGTAACCCCTTCTTGCTCCTTCTCTCTTCACTTGATTGGCCAAATGTAAATTTGGTATATGTGTCTGTGTGTATATATATACACACACACATAAAAAAAAGTTATAAAAAAGTATATTAAAATTTATGGTTTTTAATTGCCTACAAATAGAATATATATTGATATAAAATACATTTAAAAAAAAAAAAAAGTGAGCAAAGTGAAAGATGACCATTTTCTATGTTCCAAAGAATAAAAAAAATAAGGGGAAAATGAAAATGGTGTTGAGGTGACTTATGAAAGGTGAAGTGTGAGTACCTCTTGGGTCTAAGAAACATGGATAAAAAAGGTGAAACTTAAGTACTTAACACTCTTAAAATACATTCGTTCTCTAATCTCTAAAGCAGCAAGTGATTAAAAGATATTGCCATGTTCATTTTGTCCCTTTGTGTTACAAGGGATCATCTAGGCTGGAAGGACTCTGTCTCTTATGCCAATGATTTGATTATGTTTGGTTTTTCCTAAACTTGGAATGAACCAAAAACTAATACATTTCTATGTCTCATTGCATCAGCATTCAATTTCTTCCGTTTTCAATTGGTTAACAATTTCATCAAGATGTCTTACGTATCAACTTCAAACTACTTGATTGGACACCTAATATGTTTACATCAATGTTCTGAGAAAATTTAGACTGTAGCTGGAAAGCCAACTCAATTTCAAAAAGTATTTGTGAAACGGCATTGTCGAGGTTTTTTGTTTTGTTTTTATAGAACAAAACAAAAGCGCAACTAACATTTCCTGGGGTCCAAGATGATTTTTTAGTATTTTGTTTGATTTAGTATTTTTCCACACTCCTACAATTGATTCACGTTCTAAAAAATAAGCCAAAATTATTTTGTCTTAATGCTATTGTGCAATTATCATATTTCATACCCTGATATTTCGTATGTGACACCCAGACCCTACAGATACTGTTATTTATTCTTAGTATTCTTTAATTCTCTAGGATAAAACCTTTTATTTTGTTTAACAAAATTACATAAACGGAAATGCATAAAAGAAAATCTATTATAACAAGTAATAATACATTCAAACTTCTATTAAATTAATAACTATTTATTGTGGTACCTACTCATTCCTAGATACATACATCAATACATAAAACTTTAAGCACAATGACTAGTTATGGTTTTGATTATTTAAACATTTAATGAAAAAATAACAATCAATGCATTCTTTCTTGAAACATGCTTAAAAATATTTCTTTGAGATCTAATAGCTACATGGAAGAAACTATCTTCAGGGCCCATATTAAGTTGTCCCATAAAATCCGTTTGCAAGATGGTGTACCCTATACGATGAGTATTTAAATGATCAAAGTAAAAAACTTTCATGTTATCTTGATATACTAAAACACGTCTTTAAAACATTAAACAATTAAGCACGATAAAATAATATATAACAAATATACCATGTATGTATCCCATTAACTAAGAAACAAACCATCATTAGTATAAATCACCACAAGACCAAGAAAATAACTCAACTCGTCGAGATCCTTTATAGACAATTCATGATTTAAACTTGAGATACAAGAGGTGATAAACTGTGGTTGATTACCTGTAAGAATCAAGTCATCAAGATAAACCAAAAGATAAAGTATACATGTACCCTTTTTATAAATGAAAAGAGAGGTGTCGGCACGACTACAAACAAAACCAAGAGTAGTCAAAAAAGAACTTAGTCGTTGAAACCAGGCACACGGAGCTTGCTTAAGGCCATATAAAGCTTTCTGTAGGCGGCACACATGATTAGGAAACTTAGGATCAAGAAAACCAGAAGGTTGTTCCATATAGACAGTTTCAGTGAGATGAACATTTAAAAATGCATTCTTAACATCTAGTTGATGAAGAGGCCACCAGTTTAATACCACCAAGGACAAGACTATACGAACAATAGAAGCTTTTACAACTGGACTAAATGTCAAAGAATAATCAAGACTCGACACTTGTGTAAATCCTTGTGCAACAAGCCGCGCCTTAAAACGATCAAGAGTGTCACACCCCCGAACCAGACGGCGGAAACGTCCGAGGGCTTTCGTGACTCATTGAATACCATTACAATGCATATACATGAAACATAACATAAAACATCACCAACATTTGGAATAATACAACCGATAGTGTTTACATTCGTTACATTATTCAAACGTTACATTCTCAAAATAACTATTCAACATCACTTAAACCACAACAAACATCATAGAGTATAAATCATCCGTCACCTTATCTGTTACCTGAGAATACAAGTATTTTGAAAAACGTCAACATACGAAATGTTGGTGAGTTCATAAGTAGTGTTTGAAATCCAATGTAATGTTTGAAACCCATCAGAAAATCCGATATTTTCTAATAATAGAATAGTGTAAAAATATGTGTTGATCCATGAGTATGCATGTTTGAATTATATAAATGTAAGCGTAAGAGTTGTGAAAATTTCGACTGGTAATTCATAAGTTGTAATTGTTGAAAACCCTAGGAAAACCCGACGTTTTCCTATCACTTTGTATTACTTAGTTTGTATACCGTTGTTTCGTTTCGTTAGAGGGAAATCATTGAGCTCCGGAGGCATTGAGAATACAATGGGTGGTGAAGTGTTGTGACGTACGTTAATGAAAACGTCCAATCGACAACCTTACAAGCGATCCCTTAGGTGCCACTCGTAATTCTTCACACAACTCGATCCTCCCGGACTTGTGTAATCCCACGACCGGAGGGAAGGAGAGAAGGTGCGAAACCCTCGGTATTTCCCCGCGTCGTCCAGGACAAATGCAATTGCGAAGGGCCCGAAGCCCATCCCGCAATCGTGAGTTACCGACTTTACTAGCAGCACTGAAGGACCCTTGGGGACCAGCAGCACGTTTGCCATTGAAAGTCCTGTTACGTTATGTCGGATCGGTAAAACCCAACACTTCGTAAAGAGAGAGAGATCTTCGGGCCTTAAGATCAGGTCATTGGGCTAGCTAGGCTCAACGAACAAGATTTTACACTTTTGGGGCCCAAAGATGGTGCATAGACGTCTGCGCACACTCGTATGTATAGTGAATTCTCCATCGTTATTAGTTATGAATCGAAATGTCGTAACGGCGTCGTGTTAGTGGTTTTGGATTTTTATTGGTTCGAGACCGAACCAATTCGTTTAACAACGACTTTTGGTATTGTAGTATATTGTATTTCTTGACAAGCGTGGTACCGTCAATTGGTCAAATTGCATATATTAACTAGCTTGAAGATTTTCTGTTTTCAGCCCCTCCTTAATTGTAGAATTTACCCTTTTCACCCTTTATTTAAAAACTTTCCGGTTTGGTCCTTAAATCAATTTTTTGACATTTTTATACCAAAAATTATTGAAATAAGTATTTTCCAGCATATTTATCATAGAAAACAGTTTAAGCCCTTGAAATTTCAATTTTCTCGGTTATAGCCCCTCTTTTTCGCAACTTTTACATTTTTGACCCAATTTGGAAAATTTTACAACTTTGGCCCCTTTTTAAATTTGAAAGCATTTTAAACCTTTGAAAAGCACATGGAACACTTATAGTCCACTGTTTTACAGAAAAATGCAGTTTTAGTCCTCCAATTTAGAAAATTTCGCATATTGGGCCTTATTGGGCCGAAAATGTCATATTTAGCCCAATAAGCTTGGAATTTATGTTTTTAACCCTCTAAATAGTATATTTTCAGAAAATACATTGTGTAAACTGTTTTGACTCATCTTACCCATCAGATTTCGAAATATTTCACTTTAGGCCCTTTAACTTTGTATTTTCAACATTTTATGTCAAAAAAATGAGTTTTTAGCCCAAGTTAAGTGTTGTCAAGCTATTTAGCCATTTTCTTAGTATACTTTGCAATGAAGTAGTATATTTTATGCCATAATAAGATATAAATCTCGGTTTTTAGCATTTCATACTAAATCTATCATCAAAATCATACAAAGCATACACATAAGCATAGAAATCAACCACAACATACACATAATGATGGATCTACACTTTTTCTTGTATTCTCCCCCACAAAAACTCATAAAAACCGAAAATAAGGGGATATGAAACTCACCTTGGATGTTGATTCGGTTTTTGAAGAAAGAATGGAAGAAATGAAGTGATTTTTGGCCTTTGCACTCCTTGATGAAATTTTCGAGTTTATGGGGTTTCTAGAGTGCAAGATCATGATTTTTGCATGGATTAGGAAGAGATTTTTGATAAACAAGGAATACAAGTCATAGATCCAAACAAAACCTTACCTTAGATGATGATTTTGTGGAAGAACTTCCTTGAATGCTTCCTAAATTTCGAGATTTTGGATGGAGAAGAAGAAGAAGCCTTGAGTGAATTTTAGAGAGAGTTTGTGAGTGTTTTGTGTGTGTGTGGTGTTGCTCTCGGCCGAGTTCAAGAAGAAGAGAAGAGAGAGAGTTGAGTTGACAATCCTAGTTACATGTTGGTCCATGCATGGAGATATGTGGGATATAAGTGAGGTGGCAAGGCTCTAAGTCAACTCTTCCTTCTTGGTTTGGGCTTTTGGGCCGAGAATTGGAAATGGAAAGGAAAAAAATTGGGCTTTAATGTCCTAACCCATGTAGATGTTAAGTTAGATGGTTTTTAGTCCCAAAAGAAATATAGTATGATTTTTTTTACACTTTGTTGGGCTAGTTTAGGTTAATCGTGGTTCAAAATTTTGTATTTGTTTCATTCTAGGTCCAACATGGCTCAAAATGTTGAAATAAATAGATGTGGGTCCAATTAGATCCCAATTAGGGTTCTAAGCCCATGATAGTCCAATTGGAAGCTTATTGGTCCATTTGGATCCAATAAGGAAGTTCTAGTCCAAAATGGACTTAACAAGAACTTCTAGGGTTTTCCAATTGTTTGATGTAGTGAATTGGGGTTTAGTTTCCCATTGAGTAAGCATCATACTTGTTTTTGAGTTTTTGATTTCAACATTTACTTGAGTATAGTGATTACAAGACATAGAATTTCTAGTTGTGACAAAGAGAGCCATCAGAGTTGTATTTCGTACGAAACACCCATTTAGAGCCAACAACATTTGAACAAGTAGGAACTAACACCCATGTATGATTAGTTTGCAAGGCATGCATTTCTTCTTTCATGGCAGAAAACCATTTAGGATCTTTAACAACACTTTTAAAACCACAAGGCTCCTTATTGGGCAAAGAGCAAGATGAAGAGGGTGGTTCTCGAGAGAAAAAGATCAGCAAGATACTTTGGATTTGGTTTGGTAATACCGGCTTTGCCTCGTGTAATCATAGGATGATGAGTTTGTTCTGTAGATGAATGAGAACCAACAGATGGGGATGGGGACGGTACAGAAGGAGTAGCGGCTGAAGAAGGGATAGGCTCAATGACATCTTGGCATAAGGTGCAGCCTGTGACATGGGTTGAAATAGGCGGCCCACAGTTTGACGAGTCCAAAGAAGCTGGACCAGTGGACATAGAATCTTTGGCAGTCGTAAACTAGCGAGTAGTGGTAGAGACTGGTCGAGGAGGCTTAATAGTAGATGGGCCATCACAGTAACTTGAGAAAAGTAATGTTGCAAGATCAATAGGAGCAACTTGGCTAGAAAAAGGAAAACCAGTTTCATCAAATTGTGCATGACGGGTAGTATAGATTTGAGAATTAGCCAAATCCAAGCACCGATAACCCTTATATTGAGTGTCATAACCAAGAAAGATGCACTTGAGACTTCTTGGGGCCAACTTGTGAGGAACATAGTCACACAAATAAGGAAATACCCGACAACCAAACACCCGAAAAACATTATAGTTTGGTGAACATCCAAAGACAAGCTCAAAAGGAGACTTGTGATCGAGTACCTTAGTTGGTAATCATTTGATAATATATGTGGCTAAAACGAAAGCATCAAACCAAAAAGAAGCAGGTGCATGAGCATTGAAGAGCATAGCAAGGCCGGTCTTAGTGACATGTCGATGTTTCCTTTCAGTTCTTCCATTTTGTTGAGGTGTGTAAGCATAGGATATCTGATGATGAGTGCCATTTTCAATATAAAGAGTGCGAACCCGTTGATTGAGAAATTTTGTGCCACCGTTACTTTGAAAAACTTTTAGTTTTGTTGAGAATTACGTTTAAACAAAACTTAAAAATGACTTAATAATCTCATAAACACCGGATTTAGATTTTAACGGATAGAGCAAAGTGAATCCGGAATAGTCATCCACAAAAATTATGTAATACAAGTAACCATTAGTAGACATAATGGGAGCCGGTCCCCATAAATCACAATAAACATGATCAAGAATGTTTAAAGAGCGTTTATAATTAATATCAAAAGGTAAATGTTTGCTTTTTGAAAGCTGACAAAAAGAACAAATACTAGGTTTAGGTAATAAAGAGGTAACAGACAAATAACCTAATCTAGATAAAGAAGGAATAACATCAAAAGAGACATGAACCAAACGTTTGTGCCAAACTTCAAAAGAAGCATGAAGTGTAACATCCAAAAATTTAATACCAAAATTTCATTTTTAATTAGGTTATTATAAAACCAACAGTTTAAGAAATCATGCATAATAACATATCATGTCAAAACCAGTACGTCAATAATTAAAGCATGGTATCATAAAACAGTATCAAAGTATAATCCCAAAGATCTCATGTACGGAAAACATAGTGTGATGCGCTACGATCGAGCCAACTCCTTTCCTTTGAAAACGAAGTACCTGAGAACAAAACTAAAAACTTTAAGCACAAAACTTAGTGAGTTCCCACATCATACCACATATCATACATAACACATACTGTATAACATAACTGGGTACTAACTACCCCTTCGGTCCTGTCGATCGGTACTTTGCCTAGCATATAAGGGTGTTGGCCTACCCCTTCGATCCTTTTGAATGGTAACCTTGCCTAGCATATCAGGGTGCTGGCCTACCCCTTCGGTCTTTTCGACTCATATCCAGGGACTATTCACCCCTACCACTACCACATATTATCATAACACATATATCATAATCTGTCTATCATAACTAGGTACTAACTACCCCTTTAGTGCTTTCGACCGATACTGGGGTCTATCCTACCCCTGCTATCACATATCACATAACACCATATCATACTAGTATATAGTCATAACAGATAGCAACATACCATATAATTATCACAAAGACAATCATCTCTTCTATAACTCTTACTAGTGGGTCGACCTTGGTGCCTTAGACCCACTTCTACTGGAAGGTAACTTACCTCACACTGCTGAAGTCCCATAGACAAAACTCTAGCGGCTGGATGACAGGTTCTCAAACTATCAATCATCAAAATAACACCCAATCAGTAATTAGGTTCCAACATATACCCATAAGTCCATGCTTGGGGTAAAAGGCTACTTTACCCCCAATTTAGCTTGACTCAAGCTAAAGGCCCAAAAGTCAACTATGAGTCAAAGCATAACATATGGCCTAATTTTCCAAATTAGGCCCAAACATTTAAATGGTCTTATTCTAAGGCCCAATCATTTAGTCTAGTCCAAAAATTTAGCATTTATAATGGCTCAATATCTCATAATCATAAAGGCCCAAATTAAGGCCCATCTATGGCCCAATTTTCCAAATTGGGCCCAACACCTCATATGGGCCTTACCCTAAAGCCCATCTAATTATTCTAGTCCATATGATTGTTCTTAAATGGCCCATCATTGGCCCAATCACCAAAGCCCAATAGAAAGGCCCAACTTAAGGCCCAAGTGAAATTAAGGTTTTCACATAAAATGACGATTAGGGTTAAGTGTTTCTCACTTAACCCATTAAGGACTTAATCCATTAAGTCCAATATTGCCTTAGAATAATTGCAAATGACTATAATTAATTATTGAAGTTTAGAAAATAATTCCAGTGCGGGTCCCGACCAATCCCCATGTAACAGCCCGGATCCCCAGGTATCTTCATTTCTTATATTTTGACATTCTGTGAAGGGACTCGGCGAGTTGGTGGTCGAACTCGCCGAGTCGGGTCGCGGTTTTTAGCGGGGGTTCGCGTCCGGACTCGGCGAGTCCAAGGGATGGACTCGACGAGTCCGCGCTGTTTAATGAAACCCTAATTTCCCGGTCCTAAGCCCTATTTAAAGGACCTTATGGCCCTCATTTGCGGCCACCTTGAACCCTAAGAGCCTCCATACGTCTGTAAGCCCTTGTGAGTGTGTTTGAAGGCCATTTGTTCATCATTTTGTGGGATTTTGCAAGGAAAGGAGGGAGAGGAGCAAGCTTGAAGTGTTGGGGAGCTTAGATCTGTTGCTATTTCATCAAGGGAGTCTTCTTGAGGTAATTTTCAGAGCCAAACTTCGTGTTTTGTGTTGATGTGCCAAATCTAGGGTTTCTTCTTGCATTTCTTGGCTTGAATAAGAAGTATGAGAGGTCCCATGGGGATATGGGACCTAGATCTGGACTTTAGCAGGTCCAGGAGACCCCTTATGACAAGCTTTATGTCCATCCTTTTGAGTTAGAAGTTAAACTTGCCATATTAAAGGTTGTTTCTTCAAAATAAGCCTTGTATGCATTGCATGGCAACCAAGACTGAGACTTTACGTGACAAATAAGCTTGGGAAGGCCAGATCTATGTATTTATGGAACGGATCTGACCGCAAAAGCCAGTTTTAGCTGGTGCATGGCATGGACTCGCCGAGTCTGAAGAACAGACTCGACGAGTCGCTTGAAGATTGTCCTTGAGACCATCCTGTGTGTAGACCGGACCGAGTTGTGGGCGACTCAGTGAGTCGCAGAGAGTTGGAAAGGTTTTGACAGGTGGACCGAGTCAGGTTGGGACTCGCCGAGTTGACCTTCGACTCGGCGAGTTGAGTCGCGGTGGCCCTGTGATTCAGGCCCAGGTGGAACTCGTCGAGTCGGGGGAGTACTCGACGAGTCAAAGGGAAAATTCTTGAGAGTTGGTAAAAACGCGTAGACTCGCCGAGTCACTATTGTGCACTCGCCGAGTCTGGTCCAAATTGACTAAAGACTGTTGACCAGGTCAACCTGTGTTGACTTGATTTGGATGGTCCACCTTAGTGGTACAAGTAATAATTATAGATTTATAATATCATAGGAGGATTGCAGCTCGAGGGTTCGAGCCCGAGTGATTCCAGGATTCACGATTAGCGACTTAGCGAGGCATACGAGGTGAGTCTTCTCACTATACTGTGCCCGGAAGGGTTTTGACTGTGTGACCGGAAGGTCGAATATGATATGAAATATATGCCTTATGCGTGTTAAGTTATTTGCTATATGTGTCATGTATGATATGTTTGATATGGGCCGGAAGGCGTGGTCATATGGACTGTAAGGGTTGACGTGGGTAGGACCGGAAGGTTTACCCAGTCGGGACGGAAGTCCCCTGAGACACATGGACCGGAAGGTCAAGGCCTGGAAAGGCGTATGTGCGTATGTTGTATTTTGGGAACTCACTAAGCTTTATGCTTACAATTGTTGCTTTATGTGTTTCAGGTACGAGTGAGGACCGTGGGAAGGCGCCAGCGTGACCGTACACACACTCGGGAAACTATTTTGTTATCTTTTGTTATGTAATCGGTTGTGACTACATTGTTACTATGGAAATCTAAACTTATTACTCATGTTTTGATGGTTGTAAAAATGAAAATTTTTGGTTGGAAATTTTATGACGTTACAAGTTGGTATCAGAGCCTTGGTTTGAGGGATTCGGGTACACCTTCGGGCGTAACTGGACTCAAACCGGGGGTTGGAGAAAATAAAAAAAAATTTAATTTAATTAATTAAAATTAAAAATTTTGATAAGTGAGACGACCAAAGAAGAAAAAGTGTGTACGGTCAGCCAGCGCCCGAACGGTAAAAATCACCAAAATACTCTTATTATATGTGTTACGATATATGATATGATAGGATACGCATGCTAGTAGACTAGGTATACATATTAGGACTAGAGTGGCCTGATTTTATGATGCCTTAGTCTAGGGAACCTGCTTCTATGAGGTGCTCGAGAGAGAGTGGGTAACCAGAGTATGATAAGACCACGCTACCAAGGACACCAAGGACACCGGGTCAGTGGGCAGCCCAAGTAAGAACCCCTGAGTAACAGAGACTGAGTAGGACTGCGTTATCGAGTGCGATTTTGCCCGATAGAGTCTCTGATATTTTTATGTTGTATTTCAGAGACATCATGGTTGGACCACGACACAGACCTGACACGAGTGGAGTGACTGACGAGGAGCTTCGTCAGATGATTCATGAGCAGGTAGCTGCAGCGATCCGGGCCGAGATTTCGGAGATGTTTGGGTCTATTAAGACCACGCTGATGGAGACGTTTGATGAGCGGTACGCCGCGTTGTCCGAGGCTGCCGCCGCTGCAGCTACCGCAGTTGTGGCCGCTGCCAGACCACAGGGGGGTGATTCGTTGCTGTTCCGGGAGTTCAGCAACACGAAACCACCAGAGTTTGACGGGACGCAGGATCC